GGGGGAATGGGGGGAATGGGGGAATGGGGGGGACTGGGAGCACTGGGAGGGCTGGGGGGGGGGGGGAAGCAGCTCCAGCTGTGGGGGGGGGTTTCGGAGTTTCGGGAGCAGGGGGGGGGGCTTGGTGCAGGGTTTTGGGGATCTCCTCAGTTTTGGGGCCCCCTGAATTTTTGAGGTTTCCCCCCTATTTGGGGTTTTCTCCCCCCATTTTTCAGGTTTCCCCCCTGTTTTGGGGTTTATCCCCCCGTTTTTGGGGTTTTCTCACCATTGTCGGGGTTTCTCCCTCATTTGCCCCCCAATTTTGGGGTTTTCTCCCCGGTTTCGGGGTCCCCCCAGGTACTACGCCTTCGACGAGGCCCTGGCCCGGGAGCTGCTGGGCAAGAAGCTCTCCAAGGGCACCAAGAAGGAGCTGGACGAGGTCAGCGCCCGCACCGGGGTCGGGATCCGCAGCTGCCGCCGCCAGGTGGGACCCGAAACCGGGCGGAGGGAAAAACCCCAGGAAAAGGGGGGAAATCCCCAGAAACGGGGAAGGAAATCCCAAAAACCGGCGGGGGGAAAGGAAATGAGGGAGAAACCCCAAAAGCTGGGGGGAGGGAAGTCCCAAAAAGTGGGGGAGGGAATCTGAAAAACGAGGGCAAAGGGAAACAAGGAAAAAACGAAAAACGGGGAAAACCCCAGAAGTTCAGGGCCTTGGCTGATGTGGGGGTCTGGCCCTACTGGGGAGCTTGGGGGGCGTTCAAGGGGGATTTTCAGGTCCTGGGGGCATTTGGGGTGCGGGGGGGGCCCTGGGGGGTTTTGGGGCGCTGACCCCCCCTGCCCCCCCAGTTTGACAACTTCAAGAGGGTCTTCAAGGCCGTGGAGGAGCTGCGGGGGCCCCTGGCCGAGAACATCCAGCAGCTCTTCCTGCTGCCCCCGCCCCTCGCCCGGTGGGTCGGGGGCCGAGTGGGGCTGGGGGCTGCCCCTGGGGGGCTGGGGCCACCCAAGGGTGCTGGGGGCCCCTGGGGCTGCCGGGGGGGCTCTGAGGGCCCAGCAAACGCTCCCACGGTTGGGGGGGCTTGGGAATTTGGGGAGGGGTGTCGGAGTGGTTTAGGGTTTTGGGGGGGTTTTGGGGGGGGTTGGGGGTTTTAGGGGTCTTGCGGGGATTTTGGGGGGTTTATGGGGTTTGGGTGGTTTTGGGGTTGGGGGGATTTTGGCGGTTTTGTGCGGGTTCAGGGGAGTTTTAGGGGTTTGGGGAGGTTTGGGGGTTTTAGTTTTAGGAGTTCTAGGGGTTTTGGGGGGGGTTTAGGTGTTCTGGTGGGGTTTGGGGGGATTTTGGGGGTTTTACGGGGTTTGGGTGGTTTTGGAGTTAGGGGGATTTTGGGGCTATGGGGGGTTTTGGGGAGTTTTTGGGGAGTTTAAGGGATTTGGAGGGGGTTTCGAGGTCTCAGGAGTTTTGGGGTTTTGTGAAGTTTCAGGGGTTTGGGGGGTTTGGGGGTTCCCTGGGAGGTCGGGGACCCCCTGACCCCCGTCCCCCCCGCAGGGACTACGCCGCCATCGTCTTCTTCGCCAACAGCCGCTTCGAGACCGGCAAGCGGCGCCTGCAGTTCCTGAGCTTCGGCGACTTCGCCGCCTGCGCCCAGAGCATGATGGCACACTGGAGCCAGGGCGCCCTGGGTGCGCCCGGGACACGGGGACAGCCGGGGGACACGGGGACAGCCTGGGGACACCAGGGACAGCCCCAGGGGACACGGGGACAGCCCCAGGGGACACCAGGGACACCGGGGACAGCCCCAGGGGACACGGGGACAGCCTGGGGACACGGGGACAGCCCCGGGGGACACGGGGGACAGCCCCAGGGGACACGGGGACAGCCTGGGGACACGGGGACAGCCCCAGGGGACACCGGGGACAGCCCCAGGGGACACGGGGACAGCCTGGGGACACCAGGGACAGCCCAAGGGGACACCAGGGACAGCCCCAGGGGACACCAGGGACAGCCCCAGGGGACACGGGGACAGCCCCAGGGGACACCGGGACAGCCTGGGGACACCGGGGACAGCCTGGGGACACCGGGGACAGCCCCAGGGGACACGGGGACAGCCCCAGGGGACACGGGGACAGCCGGGGGACACCAGGGACACCGGGGACAGCCCCAGGGGATACCGGGGACAGCCTGAGAACAGCCTGGGGACACCCCTGGGACACCCCCGGGACACCCCCGTCCGTGTCCCGGCGCGCTCCTGACCCCGGTGACCCCGGGGGTGTCCCTCTCTGGGGACCCTGGACACGTCCCCAGTGTCCCTGTGGCCGTGCCACCCCTGCAGTGTCCCCGGGGGTGTCCCCCTGTCCCACAGCCCCGTGACCCCGCTGTCCCTGACCCCTGCTGACCCCTGACCCCTCTGACCCCTGACCCCGCTGACCCCTGACCCTGCCCCCGCTGTCCGCCCGCAGCGCCCGAGGCGGCCGAGCCCGACGGGGACCTGCCCAAGTCCTTCCTGCAGGACCTGAAGGAGCTGAAGGTGCTGGTGGCCGACAAGGACCTGCTGGACCAGCACAAGAGGTGGCACCGCCGGGACGGGGACAGCCCCACGGGGACACCCCGAAATGGGGACACCCCCAAATGGGGACACCCCTGGGATGGGGACAGCCCGGGATGGGGACAGCCCCATGGAGACACCCTGAAATGGGGACACCCCTGGGATGGGGACACCCCTGGGATGGGGACACCCTGAAATGGGGACACCCCGAAATGGGGACACCCCGAAATGGGGACACCCCTGGGATGGGGACAGTCCGGGATGGGGACAGCCCCATGGAGACACCCTGAAATGGGGACACCCCTGGGATGGGGACACCCTGAAATGGGGACACCCCGAAATGGGGACACCCCTGGGATGGGGACACCCCTGGGATGGGGACACCCTGAAATGGGGACACCCCGAAATGGGGACACCCCTGGGATGGGGACACCCCTGGGATGGGGACACCCCCAAATGGGGACAGCCCGGGATGGGGACAGCCCCATGGGGACAGCCCGGGATGGGGACAGCCCCATGGAGACACCCTGAAATGGGGACACCCCCAAATGGGGACACCCTGAAATGGGGACACCCCCAAATGGGGACACCCCTGGGTTGGGGACAGCCTGGGATGGGGACACCCTTGAAATCGGGACAGCCTGGGACGGGAACAGCCCCAATGGGGACACCACCGGGATGGGGACACCCCCAAGGAGCTGTCCCCTGCAATGGGGACAGCTCAAAAACGAGCACCCCAAACTCCATGGGGCGCCCCAGAACCGGGCTCTCTGCAAAAGGGGCACCCCCCGACTCCTGGGTGCCCCAAAACGGGGTGGGTCCCCCAAGTCTCTGGGTCCTGCCAAATTCCATGGGACCCCTCACAATCTCCCCAGAAGCCCCAGCGCCCCCCCAAACCCTGGGACCTCCGGCTCTGCTGTTGGGGTGCGGGAGGGGCTGCCTGGGCCCTGGGGTGGGTCGTGGTTCCGGGGGTCCCCGGGCCCCCCCAACCGCCCCCTCCCCCCAGCCTGGTGTGCTCGGCCCTGCGGGGGAAGATCTCGGTCTACAACGAGCTCGAGGCCAATTTCAAGGTGAACCCCCCCAAAAACGGGGTGTCCTCAGGGGGGAGGGGTCTCCCAAAATCCCTGGGGGCTGCTTGGAGGGGGAGGGGCCTCCCCCAAAATCCTGGGACCCCTCCCAAAATCCTGGAGGATCCCCCTGCACGTTTGTGGGGGGAGGATGGGCGGGCGGGGGGGTTCCCAGCACTGGGAGGGGATTTGGGGATGGGGGCGGGGTCCCCAAGAGAGCCCCCCGAGATCCTGGGTCTCCTTTCTGGGGGGCTCAGGGGGTCCTGGGAGGGGGCTCCTGGTTTTTGGGGTTCCACAAAGTCCTGGCGCCCCCGAAGTGCCGGGTGGCCCCTTGGGAGGGGCTCGGGGAGCCCCCCCGGGTTTGGGGGTCCCAACGCCCCCCGTGCCCCCAGGCGCTGTCCCGGGCGCTGGTGAACGTCGGGGGGAAGTTGACCCACGCCCGCGACGTTCGGGATTTCTTCGTGGACCTGGTGGAGAAGGTGAGGGGGACCCCGAGAACGGGGGCCCAGGAAGTCCCCGGGACTCCTGGGTCGGGACCCCCCCAAAATCCGGCTGCGTCCGGGGTCCCCGCAGGTGATCGAGCCCTGCCGCTCCGACAAGTGGAGCCCGGGGGACCTGCGGCTCTTCCTGACGCACTACACGGCAGCCCCCCGAAACCTGCCGGGCTTCAGGTGAGACCCCAAAACCCCCAAACCCCCCCGGAACCTGCCGGGCTTCAG